CCGTTTCAACTTCTCTGTGTCAACCTACCCAACTAACTTGAGATAAATATGTTTGCTCCTTACTTGAAAGGTATCCCATTCGAAGATAATTCTATTACTATACCCATCTAGCAAGCACAAAAACATAAACAGCAAGTACACTAGTACACTATCACAAGTACACAAAGAGAAGGCCCACTAGGCTTAGTGCCCCCACCCCCATAGCAGAGTTGCAGAAGAGGACAAAAAATTGTGGAGAGATTTACAAATAGGAAAAGACTGAATACTGATATTCACTCTTTAAGAAAGGAAACAGTGACTACCAAAATCATAAAAGCACATGGAAAAGGCTTCTAAATCCTGTATAACAGCTTTCAGTTTGTGATATTTGGATGAACAGGTTAAAAAACAACAACCAAGATTAAAAATATAATTCTGAATAGACTTATTTGGAAGGAAATTTCACTGACCATAGAATTTACTTCTAAGTAAACAAGCAAATGATTGTAGTGTTCTAGAATACTATAAATGTACAATGTTTCAGAGAATCTCCAAAATACCAACTGGGTAGATTTACAGTTCTCTACAGCAGCCTTTTTCAACTGGGACCCTCCAAATGCTGGCTCAAAATTCTGGGAGCTACAATCACAACCCATCTAGAGACTCAGTTGAGAAACACTACTCCAGAAAATGTTAAAACAAAACAAAACAAAACTGCAAGATGTTGTTTAGATACATTTATGCGACAACATAATATTTTCTTTCCTATCACTATTTAGTAGAACAGTCAATATTTCTCTGTTTTAACTTGCATTTTGAATGATTCTGGAGAAATAAAGGCCATCAGAACAAGCGATGGCTTTTCTTAAAATAGAACCATACGCAGCATGTCTCTCCAAGTCATAACAGGCATTCTAAAGAACAGCTAGTAGTCAGTGATGAAAAGAAATAGCTGAATTCATGGAGTAACCTTGAGGGGACTACCAACACAAGTCATACCCAAGTCCGCTTTCATGAAATACCTGAGTTACAGATAAGTCAAAAATAAGACTGCAGTTGAAATTCCCCATTGGTTTGAAGTCAGAGGGGCTGTTGTCTTCCATCCCTGCCAATTACAACTCTTCATAACTTGTCATGGTAGCCCTTGTGTTAGAATAGCACACTGTGTCAGAAGGTTTCTTAATCCTCAATGGTGGCTTTCCAGGGAACCCAGGAGTATGTAGTATGCCAGCCTTGTGCAAGCAGAAATAGGTACCTTTGGAACACCCCTAATCCCCTTCTCCCATAAAAATCTTATATTAACTGAAAAACTGTGCCAAGTGTATATCCCCTTAACATACAAATTTTTTTTTTCACTATAACCCCAAGTCAAGACTCTCTTTAACAGCACAATTCTGAATTTTTTACCAGATGTAATCCCTATTCTATTTGGTATTTATTTCTATTTAGCTATTCCTAAATACTCACATTTAAAATTACAACAAAAAAGTATTGTATTAAGTTATACTGAGAGGTTATTGATGGAATATTTGCTCCAAAAGAGCTATCATAAATAATGTGACTAAAAAGAAGAAGACACAACATGTTCTGTTAAGTGTTGAAGTAATTCTTTAAAAATGAGGAAAGAAATTAACTAGCACTGCAAAGCAGAGTACAAATTTAAGTTTTTCAGTATACAAGACATCACAATTATTTAAAACCCAAGCATTATGATAAAGATGAATTACAATACTTTGTCCAAGATACTCATGCACAATACAGCCACAAAAATAAAGTATTTCTAGGACTTTTTCCCTACAGAATTCCTGTAAAATTAATCTAGTAAATGAGTAGTAGTGAAAATAGCATGAGGAAGGGATGGTTGGAAGAGAACACTTTTTGATGTAACTCCTTCAGGACAACAGAAATATTCATATATTTATATCATTCCTGTAAACACCACACAATTTACCTTATCATTCTTAATCTTGTATTAGGAGTTCCAACTTTCCTTCAGACTGATAAATATTCCTATTTGTGGCAAATGCTAGAAAGCTCAGTGGGAGACAGCCAAGTGCTAATAAGGAGATGTTTGCATTTCCTCAAACCCTTGCTAAAAACTCTAATAAAATACCTTCTCTTAAAAAACAAAAGTAGGCACTCTTTTTCATTTTTTAAACAACCACACAAAAACGGCAAAAGATGAGCAGCCATCCATTTTCAAAATAGATCATGGATTCTTTTCTTCCAAGCTACAGAGTATCTAAATAGCAATAACTAATGATTCAGCTTCCAAACCTGGTTGTTATCTTTCAGTAGTAAGGATCAACCAGGAACTATAGCATGGAGTAAGCTATCCTCTAACAATGAAGCTAATGGAAAATTCCACTGTGGTCTATGCAAAGGGCTAAGAGGAATGTCGGCTTACAAGTTGTACTTCCAGTGCCTGCATTCACAACTAGGTGTTATTCTTTGGGATCCGAAGCAATGATTCTGTTAATAGTTAATAGTTTAATAGTTATTAAAATAACTATTTTTAAAAATCTATAAACAACTGATCTTCTTTCAATTGCAGTACTCAGGAAATAGATGCATTTGGATGTACTAACTTGACACTCTGATCTTAAACCTTTTATTTATATATTACCATAAGAGGTCATTCAACTTACACCAAACACATGCAATTTCAAACCATAACTATAGACAGAATTATAATCAGTACACTGATTCACTTGCTTGCTAAGTTTTCATTTTGCTTCAGGTATTCCTTATTGATCCTATCCCTTGAAAGTAGAAAAAATCTGTCAGAATGCCATTTTCAGTTATTTATATGTGGTTCTTGCCCAACTTGCAAGAAATATAAGTATTATAAACAAAGTATCATCTGTGCAAGAATAATGATCTCCATCAATTTAGACACTTTCAAAACAGCACTACAACATGTGCATCAAATTTAAGAATGTTTTTACCAACAGGAACAGAAACTCACATATTCTGCCCTGTCTTTTCAGAATGGGAAGTAATTCAGACCATTAAATATGCCTCACATCAAAGATATAGTGTGCTCAAATAGCTTTCTCCTACTATGAAGTAATGCTAGAATCACAAACTCAATTTTCAGGTTTCTTCCCCACCTACCCCCAAGCTCCCCTATTTCCAATGTAACAACAGTGGTTGTTGAATTATCTTGTTATTTTCCTTATATCAGACAACCTCCAGGAAAGCCCAGCAAGATTTCTTTTAAAAATCTGAAATATTAATAAAAAGACAAAGCTTTTTTTAAAAATGCAAAATAGAACATATGCAAAAACAATCAACTTACATAGGTATCTTTTCCCTAAACAAAAGGTCAGTGGGCTTTTTTTAATAAAGGAAAAGGAAAGACAGTGGCCATCAAACCTACACTGAGATGCTTGTCTTAAATCTTTTATTTACTAACGTGAAATAACTTCTGTGCAAATGATACTTCACACATGCTCAGAAATACCAGCATCCCAACTTCCACAGCTGGTTTAAACTGACACTTATAGATTATTTGTTCAGCATCTCCCTTTACAAGAGCACTTAGGTTTAACCCAAATCTTATGTGCTAAAAGTATGTCAGTGCCTTACTCCTTCATCTGCAGGAGTCTGTAATCAGGAGCTACATCAAGCAGGGAAGCAAATTTACCAGTCTGTTTACTCGAAGACATAAATTAAAGGGTTACTGAGCACCTTGCCCATCTCAAGGGCATATGTAGTCCTGGGAATGGGCACAAAACCACCAAATTGGCAGAGGAATGTGTAGCAAAAAACAAAAAGATGTGCCTGAAATTAGGACTGCCAATTCTCACATTTAAGATTTCTATCTTGGTATCCCTGAAGAAACAATGCATGTACTTTTCTCCAAAGCATTGCGAGAAGCTCACCTCTCTGCAGCATCACTCTCCGCCGCCCCCCCCCAAACACACACAGTTGGTGCTGTTTTTAAATGGCTCCAGCTATTCTCTCCCCCCTGCAGCACATGGAAAAGCTCTGCTGCTTTGTAGAACATTATGATTTACTCCAGTTAAGCTTGGACAGCTCCACGTGAACAAAAGCATGGAAGAAAGAGGGAAGCTGCAAAAAACTAACCACATAAGCAAAGGAAAAGAATTAAAGAAGGGGGAACTATTTTTTTAAAAAAGGAAATTAAAGCCAACAGATATTCTGGAAACTGAAAGACATTCCTGTTAATGGGGAGGAGAGACTGCTTGACAGCCTGATGGGAAAAGAAATCATGTATGCCTGTCAGAACTACAACACAGTTCTAAGGTAAGAAATTTGTACTGCATAGCCACAAAAATACCCAAGTTACAAGAAGAAAGAACTGCAGAAACCTCTTGCTCAGTTATCCATTACACAAACTCCATACATTTGTAACCTTGAGGAGCACCAAATTGCCCTCCCCACCCCCCTCCCAGCCTGTTCTGAGGAATTTAGCACCTTTGAACAACTTCCAATATGTACAGGATGCTATCATTCAATTATTTTGAGACTGATACAGTAAAAAAAACTATCAGCATATGTTTGTGAATGAAAGTCCATCTTGAAATCCTAGTGTGCCAATGGCCCTTTTTATTTAGCTGTCCCTTAATCCAGATTATCACTGCTGGACACAGTCCCACAAAAGCAAGGCTAAGTCTTTACTACAAGATGTGTTTGTGTCTATTCGAGAAGGAGCACACTTTTTTATATATCCCCCCTCAGTACTGCTACAACCAAAACATATGTTCCAAGCCCCTCAGAAACCAAGCCATGTCCTAGCCATTGATGATGGACTTGGGGAAGGGATTCACAGGGTTGCCCCTGCCCCCCCACCTGTTGGCCTCTTCCTGCTTCCTCGCCTAGGCACAAAGCAGAATGCCTCTGATTGGACAGTACCCCTCCCCAAAACGTAGGGGAAGAAGGAAAAGGCCACTTCCTCGACCCCCTCTGTGCACAAGTTAACGAACAGGGACTCTTTGAGGACCAGCCACTTGACTGGTTCTGCTGGGAGAGAGAGGGGTGCTCGGGACACTCACCTCGTCGTCGTGGTGCTGGCAATAGTTGACACGGTCCGGGAAGACGGAGAGGATGTTGTAAGGCGTGCCGGAATAGGGCTGGCTGAGGGCGAGCTGGGCGGCTGCCGAGGCGGGGCCGGTCCCCGCCGACGCGGGCGGCCCTGGGCCAAAGCGCTCGATGAAGTGGTCTTTCGTGAGGCGGACGCGCTGGTGGGCGCGCACACAGTTGTCACACAGGTGCTCCTGGCAGTCGAGGCAGCGGGAGCTGGCGGCGTTGCCTTCGTCGCACGAGCTGCAGCGGGGCTCGCCCTGTCGGCTGTGGGGCCGCC